ATCTGATTATGTCTGTCCATCTTTTTTTCTTTTCATGTGTTTTTCTTTGAACCACGCTGGTTTGGAAGAAAAAAATGAACCAGTTTTAGTTGCGCCTTTTGTGTGTAAGTGTTGTCCTTCTTTCTCCATGTTTGTATGCCTTAGCAGCGCAGAACAAAAATCATGAACGATTGCTACCTCGGATGTCGAATGCCGCAATGCGCCAAAAGTAAGCTTTTTGTCACTGTGTTGCGGGACACCACAGCCCAGCAGGAGTACAACACCTGCCACTGCCAGGTCCTGATCAGCCCCTGTGGACTAGATTGTTAATCAAAAAAGAGATCACCAACATTGACAGAGTACAGCCAAAGCAAGCAGCATTCTCGACAGTTGCTGTTTGCATCAGTCCAGCCCTCCCCACAAGACAACTTAGAAGTAATCTGTCAGCTGCAGTAGACCTAACTTGCTGCACTCTTGTCCAGACGTGCTGAAGTGTTTGCTCAACAGAAAATGACGTTGTTTTGTTCGAAGGCGTCCTATAGCTACCCCCTATAGCTGTTCTCCGTACCGGTATGCTGCTGATGTCCGCGGCTTTCTTTAAGAGCAGACAATGGCACTTTTTCGCCAAGGCATAATTCTTCCAGCCACTGGGCCATGTGTTTTCCCAGTAATGGTTGTCACCAAAAATGCAACAAAAAATAAATAAACGTCTTTGTGCGAACTATGTGCCTCTCAACAAGAAGACCGTCACTGTCGTTCAACCCCTTCCACACGTCGACGACATCATGGACGACATTACAAGCTTGTCATGTTTTGCCTGCCTAGACTTGAAGATTTCATATTGGCAGGTTTGTATTCGTCTGAAACATCGTGAAAGACGGCGTTTGTCACTCATCAGGGGGCCTTCATGTTTCGCCCATGTCTATGGGACTTAAAAATGCGCCGTCTACATTTCAACTTGTCATTCCCTCCACCTTGTCCAGTTCGTACCCATATTACTCATACTGTGGTGTGAGAGCCTACTTCAACGATGTGTAGATCTTCAACTTTTGACGAGTTCCGGACGCTACTGGATGAGGTAGTTTATCTTTTTTATGCCACTGAATTTAAAGTGTCGCTGTACAAGTACAGGTTTGCCTTGGGGCCCTAAACTCGTCACACACAAAGTTGGAGCTGAAAGTTTGCGGAGCGCGCAAATTGGACGCCGGCGACAAAAGCGCGAAATCATCGTCGTAATAGTCGAAACGGCGCGCCCCATGAACTTCGGCCCGAACTTTGTGTTTGACGAGATTAGAGCCCTTGGAAACCACCCAGTTTTGCCACTAATTACTTGGGAAGACATTATTTCTGCTTACAGACAATTGGGCTGTCGCATGTCTCACCACAAACATCAGACCCACTCGCCGCTTCACCGCCGTGTTGATCAATCCCAATGAGTTCGACTTTACAGTTCAGAAGCATCCTGGTCACCGTAATGTGGTTGCTAAAATGCTTTCCCGTCTTTCGGCAGCCGTTCATGATCAGCACCAGGCCGTGGCATCGATGCAAGCAGAAGACAAAGTGTGCCAAGCCCTTCGCTGCTGCCTTTCGACTTTGTACCAGCTAGAGACAGACCTTGTGATCACAGCTGATGTTCTTCAAAACCATGCCACTAACTCAAGGTGTGCAAACCATTGTAGCTCCAGCAAAGATGCACCAGGCAGTGCTGGAAGTGGCTTTCGATGGTGCAGGCCACATACACGTTGCCCGAACATTGACCAAAGTACGAGAACGGTACTAGCGGCCAGACCTTGCAGAAACAGTAGCCCGTTATGTGACAGCATGCCAGATCTGCCGGAGTAACAATCGCCCCATGTCTAAAGGAGTTGGAAAAATGGGATTGATGCTAGTTTCGGATGTTCCTTTTACTTTGATCGCCATCGACCATGTCACCGTGCTTGCCACAGCAAACAAAAAATATTTTCTGAAAGTGTTCGACTTCCAACACATTTTGTCGTCCAAGCAACCGAGTCTTGAACCTCAACAAAGGACGTGCTAGAGGACATGCAGTCTGTGTTTTTTTTAAGTTAGAATGCCTTGACAACTGCACGGTTTAGCCTTCGAATCCCAACAGTTCAAGCAGTTCATGAGCATGCATGGTGTGAAGATTCACTACTCGGTTGCATACCGCGCGGATCGCAATGGTCTCGTTGAACGCAGCAACGGGACTTTGGTCTCGGTCCTTCGCAAGCTGTGCACAACTGACCGTGCCTCCTGGTACAAAAAACTCAAAGAAGCTGCACTTGCTGACAACTGTACCAACACTGCCAGCACTAGCGTTTCTCCGTTTAAACCCCTACTTGGATATGTGTCCAAGCTCCCACGCCATTCCATCGAAGCCACAACTCTTCAAGATCGCCTCCTGACTCTGTCAGAGAACCGAAGTGCTGCAGCTAGCAACACTGAAGAGGCTCAAGAGAAACGCAAGACAGCTTATGACCAAACCCAAAGGCACCATTCCTTTCACATTTGTTCCTTTACGTCGGTTCGCCGTCAACAGCCTCTCGTAGATGTCACTACGAAGTTGGCTCCCAAGTTCAAAGGAGTTTACAAAGCAAATGACCACAAGACAGCAGTGACATTCGTGGTCTCCCGTATCACAAGGCAAGGACCGCGCGATCGAACCCGTGAACGGCTGGTACACGTCTTTCAACTGAATAAGCCGTATGCGCAAGCGTATGTCGAGCCCTATCTGGTGAACAGCATGACTTCCCCTAATTCTGGACCCCTTGGGAAGGTTTCAGCTGCTGGTTCAACAGCCAGTGCCGAAATCGCCTTTTACCACCTGACCAGGGAACCATAAACTAAAGTTCGACCTCAACGGGTGCGACGGCCGCCAGACTACTTGGCAGACTATTTACTCCCCGAGTGAGATCTACGAGCACGGACCAACGGGACTTGGTCTTATTATAAGCGGGGTGGGATGTGAGCTACCTTCTAGTAGCGCCACCTACCGGCCCACCAGTTCTTATTTCGCAAAAGCCAAGCCTCGCCAACAAGATACCCGCCGTGCTGTCTTTCGTTCTTTTGGCGCGCTTCACCATGCCGGCACGCCTGCGGCGTAACTGCTATGTTTATTTATATACTTGTTAATAAAAAGTTATTTAGGTTACTATAACTTCGCCTAGCTCTCGCCTCATCGCCCAAACGTCGCTCTAGGCCAACGCCCGGCCCTAGAGCTCTCACAAGAGCCTTCCATACTCTCAAGCTCCTCCCCTCCGTGCGCACAGGTGTTCGAGTTCTTCCTCACCAAACTCACTTGTCTCTGTTAAGTTCTGATTCGCTTTATTTTCTTTCTCTTCTTTTAGCTAGTCTAACGACGACGACGTTAACACACGGCACGAGCTGAGTAAATAGTCTGACATGGAACTCCGACTAGACTGGTCATTCCCTAGGCTGCCTTAACACTCTTCGCCTACCCCTCTGGTCACATAACCTCCGCCGTTAATAACCAGTCAGTGTCGAGCCTCGCGGTTACGCTTTTATCTGGGCTTCACAAAATGCCGAACACCTAGCCAAAGGACGTTTTACGCTCAAAGTGACGCCTGGATGAAAGCGTGACCGCGTAGCTCGACACTGATTGGTTGATGGCTAAGAGAGGAGGAGTGAAGTGGCTCGACGCTGAATGGTTAACGGGGACGTCGTGTGGCCAGGGCGTAGGCGAGGAGGAGATCGACCACCTGTGTGCACCAAGTGAGAGGAGCTCCAGAGTGTGCAAGGCTCTGGAAGATCGCCAGCTTTATCAGCCCGATTCGCGGGAACACCGCTTCATTCTAGTAAAAACTATCACGTGTACACATGGTACGCCTTTAAACTATCTGATGAAGAGCGCCGTGAATGTAGGCGTCTGGTGTCTCGAAAGTCGGAGTATCGCTAAACGTTTGAGATGCTAGAACGTTTCACGTATGCATCACAACTGCCTAGCAATGCGTCATACGTTTTTTTACTGATTCGCTTTAGTGGTATAAAGTGAGCAAGAGTTATGATTGGGAATTTATCCCTATTTGGTTAAGTCCAGTGACCTTTTCTCGGGGAAGCATCAAAATTAAATAACACTTTTTTTTAATAGATTTGACTTTAGGGAGAATTGAGATGCAGTAAATTCATCCATACATCTCTTGCAAAACATGGAGCGGCGTCAGCGGCGAGGAAAGGAATGGCGAGAACGGTATATGCATAACCGGTTGTAGCAGACGACGGGGAGGACATTCGAGCCCTCTTTCACTCTCGCTCTTTTCAATGTCACGTTGTAGATGTACAGGGGAAAGTAGGTGCGTACAAAACCTCGCGCGTGGATGTTTTGAATATTTACGTAATTAGGGTCTCTTATATTTGATGTGGCTTTTTCTATGTTATGCTCTGGTTCCGCTCTTTAGACGTGTCAGTACCTACTCTTGAAATAATATATACATCATAAAAACATATATACCGCGCATACATTGAATGGTTTTAGTGTTTATGCTGAATTTCCCTTGGTTCGCAACTCACACAGCGAGATGCTTTAACAAGCCGAAAGATAAAAAATCATCTGAATCTTTGAGCCGAAGTGAATATGTTTATACATCATCATTGAGTCGAACTGGCCCGCTTAATTCCAATGCAAGCTGTATAAGCCGAATCGGAAGTTACAGCTGAAATGAAACTTCATGTACCTCGAGGGGCTAAGCCCAATTGAGGCTTAGCACAAACTGAGGGTAGAGCCGAAGTGAAGCCGCAGTCAGGCTGCTCCATCATACAAAAGGTACGGCGTTTTCTCCGGATACCATGACAAAAAAATCTGCGGACACGGCTCAAGAATGTTCCAAGTATGTTTGCTTCATGCTATACGCTTCGGGGATGTCCGCAGACAGTTTTCTTTATGACCGCCATGAAAGGAAAAAAACACACCTCAGATAACGTCTGCAGACTTCGTTTGGCATAATCTATTAGCAGTATCACCGCCGCTTACCCCGACTCATTGCGCCAAGTTTTGCGTAAATTATTCACTGCTTTCCTTCCCCGCACGCCAGTTTTCCACTCCAAGCGGGTGGATTGTAAAAATCGGCACATAAAATGATGAGTTTGGATGTAAAAGCGTTGTAACTCACGCCAACAGTATTATACGTTTCGAAGAAAGAACGGCAGGCCATTCCGTCCAGACCGAAATAGGTCCAAATTTTCCTTTTTGTATGCCCGTTCCACTCGCAGCAGTCCACCGTGCAGGTAGAGGGCAGGAGGTTATACTCCTACAAAAAGCAGAGTCGCTACTGTTAATACAAACGGGACTCTCGCAATGTCAATTTCAATACGTATACTAGCGAGAATCTGTCAGAAAATATTCTTCCTGGTTTGAGTCACCAGACAGCATGAATAATGATAGTTGTATCGTGTGTACGTTTATACAGCCTTGAACTTAGTCTGCCTCAACGGGCGACTTGTCTCCCTGGTCATAAATGAAAAATCTAGCCAGTGCAGTAGACCTTCTAGCCTGGGGTCCTTAACGTGTATCACGCAGTAGTGATACACGACCGTACGCCAGTACGATGCTCATCCAGATCGAAACGGGCGGAGGTGGTGATTGAACCTAGGATATCTAGGTTCTGCAACGCGAGTTTGCGCTCTACGCGCTCAGGGCTGCGATGCGGTAATTCACTCAACCACCGATTCTAGTTTTAAAAAAATGAAGACACGGTAAAAAAAAAAAAAATGGGGGACACCCAATCCTCCAAATTAATCGGCACCTAAAGAGAATTCTTGGTCACTTGCTGTTGGGTGAAATGTATTACGTTGGCAGACAAGGTGCTCAACCCTCTGCTGCTTATAATGGCCAACACACGACGGACTGAATCCCGATTTTCGTCCCCAGACTGTGTATACCACCTGAGCATCATGTCACCGATTCCTGCGTTCCGCGCCTGGTCCGAGTAAGCGCGGACTGAAATAGCAGAAGGCTTTCGGAATCGGGTTGCACCTCAAAACAAGAGGCATCAACGTAAAGGTGAATACGCAATGTTGTTTCTCGACATGCTTCTCTTGCATGGGTGTATTTCCTATCTTGTAATGATCGGATCCACTTCTCAGATCGTGAGCACATGGAAACCGTTTTCAGGGAGCTTTGGTAGATAGTATTTGCACTTTGATAACGATACGCGTTAGCAATACGATGCATATGGAAAGGCTTAAGCTGAGTATCAGGTATCTTTATCAAAGTTAGCGGGACCATGTACTGATTCTGAAGTCACTAATATGATTACGCACCTGGAAAATAGCGCTAGCAGGGATTGTAACGGGATGCAAATTCACCAATTTAAAAATATTGTTAACGTAATTGCTTTGATTATCGTATATTTTCAACCTCTTTTTTGAAGCCTGTGTATTCCCCAAAGGAAACAAATCCAAAAGTATCTGTACTATAAAAAAGATGCAAAAATGAGATAGGTTATTATGGACCTGTTCTTCCATGTTTCCACGAAAGCTTTGGAAAAATATTTTATCATCGATTAGTAGACTTTTCGAACAAATGGAATGTCTTAACTTCACCAACGTTTTTTTTTTTTTTTTTTTTTTTTACGAATAATTTTTTTATTAAAACAGCCCTACCGAAAAGAAAAAGTTATTGTAAACATATTTAAAAGCAAGACGTTGGTCCTTGGGGTCTTTTTAGACTCTGCAAAGTCATTTGACAGCCTCAATCATAGAATCTTATATCTAAAAAAAAACTTAAAATTTTTTACATCCAAGGTCATACGTTGATGCTCTTAAAGTCGTACCTACAATATCTCCAATAAATGTGACCGTTAATGGTTACTCTTAATGCCTATCACATCAGGTGTTCCGCGAATGACATATTGGAACTCCTTTTATTTATTTTTTGGCAATATAATATATATGGCAATATTTTTGGCAATAATAATATAAATGATCAGGCGAAATTCGCTATCTACGCGGTTAATAAAAGCATATCTTTTTTTTTTTTTCCGAGGCTGGTTAAGGTGATATCAGCATATTGCTTTATTTTCGAGACTGTTTTTTTTTTCCCCTCCAAGACCGGCTAATATTAAAAAAACGAAACCTGCGATTTCTTATCAAAAAAAATAAGAATAAAGGAGTCGTTGTGAATTAAAAGGGTGCCTTCGGAAAAACAAGGGGGGGGGGGAGGAGGGGGGGGGGGGAGGGAAATCACTAGGCGGAGCGGAAGCTCGCGCTGCAGAACCCAGGGATCCTGGGTTCAATCCCCACCCCTGCCTGTTTCGATCTGGATGAGCATCGTACCGGCGTGCGGTGGTGTATCACAATTGCGTGTTGCACGCTATAGGCCCCAGGCTAGCGGTTGTACAGCACTCGATAAATGTCTCATCTTCAGCTGAGAGACAATTCGCCCGTTGATATAAGCAAGTTCAGGCTGTATAAACATGTTGACACCCCAATTTTTTTAAGCGCCAATTGCATTCCCTGCTTGCTAGCCGAACACAAACAAATACTAACATAGAGACGACTAGAACCTCGCGAGGCGATTGGCTAATCGGTCCCCGTTGCTACGACAATCTCCAATCCACCAATTCAAATCTTCGAAACTTCAAAAGGTCGTTCTAATCCAGTCGCACCAATATCGGCATGGAGCATCATCACACCGAAGGCGTTCCTCGCCAATATGAACGTCTTTGGCACTGTATGGAATCAACTTATCAATCATGCCCATCTCCAAGGATCTCTTACAATTATATTGTTCTTCTTGTGCATTTCAAAACGGTTTGAATGATTGATAGTTCATGTTTTATAAAAAAAAAAAAAAAAGTAAAGCCTGCACGAATCTCTGTAATCAATTGTCTCCTGACATCGGAGAGAGGAAGGGAAAAATTATTTTTTAATGCCTCCAAGCACCGACACCGCATCTGGTGGTGGTACGAAGATGTGCGCTTCTATAGCCAATGTGTGGATAGCAAAATTTCGGTATACAAGAAACGTACGTCTCTATAGACTTTGTTTTTTTGTTTTTTTTCTGTCTTTCTCAGTCACGTGGGTTTCGTATATGGTATGCGGGACGAAAAAATAATAAAACATTTCAACTTGAAATATGCGAGAAAATATGGGTGAGGCAAAACAAGAATCTGTGATAATCACGTATGGTTTTGTAGACAGCGTCCAGCGGCGTGGAGAGATCAAAACGATGCTTCACCGCCTACCAGAAGTGACGACAATCAAGATGACTGCGACCATGTGGAAAAGGCGTTAAAAGCTACCCTTCACCAACGAATTTGGATAGGCTTACCAAGAATTGAGAGGTCAAGAAGAGATTGTTCATTTCATTAGCTAAAGTTGCGGTTATATGGGGAGCTTGGCGCTACATTCCCACGATTCAGTTGCTTTAGTGCACAGTAAGCGCACACTATAATCCGTTCACCATTAAACATAGACTAGAGGCTCCGCCTTCAGCGCGAGCTTTCTGGCCTTGCTAACACAAGTGTGAACGCGCAGGCCCGCGAAACCAAAGCATCGCGGATGCCAGTGAGCTCGCGCAAAAGGCAGAGCTTCTAGTCTCAGCTTAATGGTTAACGGAGTCTACACCTTTTTCACAAGGGTGCAGCCCTCTTGAATGTCGTCCCTTCTGGTATGCGGTAAAGCATCATTTTGGTCTCTCCACGCCGCTAGAATGTGTTTACAAAAATGCGTGATTGTCATATATTCTTGTTTTGCCTCATCTATCATATCTCGGATATTCCAGGTTGAAAAGTATTAATATTTTTGTTTCGCATACCAGATGCGGAACCCACGTGACTGAGAACGACAGGAAACAAAAAACGACTACAGCTCGGATACCGGTTAATCCAAGCCACTTCGCTCGTAGCGCCCTCTCGGGCGCTCGAGCGAAGTGATTTGGATTAACAGTTTTTTTTGTTTGTTTGTTTTTTTTTTATAGAAAACGCGTTTCGTTTTAAACTCAAGCTCGCCTGGAACACCGGTCAAGATCAAAGAAACAATAAAACGCCGGACCACATTTTTTATACAACTTAGACGTCGGTAGTCACGCACATAAAGTCACCGCGATTTCACTTATCACAACGCCATGCGACATCAGGACGACGCCTTGACGTCAACGTCGTCATCGACGTACGTCGTCATCGACGTTGAGCGCAGACCGGGGTTCCGGTCTGCGCTCGAAAGTGACCCCCATAAGGCCGCTGCTATTGTACGCAAATTTAACCTGTTTAACCACTCGTCACGTGACCAACCCAAACACGTGACGTCACAGGAAAGATGGCAGCGCCCAGGCAGCAGCTGGCCTCAGCTGGGCCGGAGCTTGTCGGTTGCTTTGTTCGTTGTCGTTCGTCTCGGCGAGTTAATTTCAGACGCGGAAGCCGTTATATGAGACCGGTCGATAGCGACTGCAGAATTCAGCGTGATGTCTGATGTACGTATGGGGTGAAAATACGGAGGAACGGTATGCATTTCGCTAGTGACCGAAAGGGATATTGCCGTGAAAGAGACAATCGGCCCCACGTTGCTCGGGCCTCGGATTGAATAGGATACCGCTAGGATAAATTTTAAGGCGACGTTTCCGTGCTCTCGTTGACCATCGGAATCTTCGAGGTCTGCTGTGAAGCGTGTGCAATATTTTGGATACACAGTTTAGCGATGGACATTGCGTGAGTCGCGCTTGGCATTGTGCAATTGTGGTGCCGCTTCGTTCAAATGACCGAAGGCTCACTTTGGTTGTGCGGCGCACCGAAGAGCTGCCTTCAAGCTGGTAGTTCCTGTGCTGTGCTGCTTCCTAAACTGTTCTGGCGTAGACGTGCACTTTCACGGAGGAAAGGTGTGGCAGTTTGTATTGATTCCGCTGGTCTGTCACACGTTTCGTCGACACAAAAGTTTCATCACCACTCGTTACGCGTATTGCAAGCTGTATGGACATTTCATCGCGCGTGTTACCTACCCAGTCCACCCGTTCACGCCGCTTTGCGACGATAGTGTGCAGCGGCTCATTACCGGAAAAGGGGTCGCACATCCATTTCAGTTCAGCTCGTCCACGGCAGTCGCCAAACACCGGAAGGAGAGGATTTATTCGGATAGAATGCAGCTTCTTTAGTGGTTAGGATAGACTCTCTTCTGTCTGTTTTGTTATATTTTAACGGATGCTTTCTCCATTCCTATTTTCTATCCATATTTACTATTCTGGAAAGTTCCAGGCTAAACTAAGCTGTCATCGCATGTTCTGGTGGAGGTGCTGCGCACTTTACCTATAACCCTT